GAAATGTAGGACACCATTGAATTGGGTTGAGCCTGGAGAGAAGGTTTTACGGAATTGATTTTGTTGATGAGGCTAAGAAAAAGGTCCATATTATCCAACAAAACATGAAAGCGGCACAGTCACGCCAGAAGAGTTATGCTGATAAGAGAAGGAGACCGCTTGAGTTTGAGGTAGGTGACTACGTTTATCTGAAGGTTACTCCAATGAAGAAAGTACAAAGGTTTGGAGTAAAGAGAAAACTTGCTCCTAGATTTGTAGGACCCTACAAGATCATAGAGAAGAAGGGTCCCGTGGCTTATAAGTTACAGTTACCAGAAGCGATGGGTTCGATCTTTCCAGTCTTCCATGTATCACAGTTGAAGAAGTGCTTGCGTATTCCGGAAGAGAGAATAGAACCTCAGAGCATTCAGCTCAAATCAGACTTGGAATACCATGAACAACCGGTTCGAGTTTTGGACACTAAGGACCGAGTCACTCGAAATAAAGTGGTGAGAACATATAAGATACAGTGGAGTCATCACGATGATGGTGATGCGACGTGGGAAACAGGGGAATATCTGCAAAACGCTTATAAGGATTTTTATAACAAATGGTTCGTAACTCAAAATCTCGAGACGAGATTCTTATAAGGGGGGAAGGCTGTAACACCTCGGTGTTAAGCATGCATTAGCATTTGGCAAGTCATGAGCATGATCATTAATTTGCATGCATACGCATGACATGAAATATAGAATGGAAGCATACTATTGAATCATGTATGTTGCATAGTTTTGTTTTAATAGATTGGATGCTATGTTTGTTTTGCCATGTGTGTACCTTGGTTGATCACTTAGACCAATTAGAAGTAGCTAAGATGCAATTTGGAGCAAGGTGTTTATTCAAAGTTTTCTCAAAATTTTGCTTTTAAAAATAACCATCTAAAATTGGGTTTTGATTTAAATTAACTTTCAATCTATAGTTCAAAATCTAATTGGATTTTGGCCTTACTCTTTTTGGCAAAGTTGTAGAGTACTTTTTTCTGAACAACTTTCATTTTTACACCAACTTGTGAAAATGCTTTTAAAATGGCTCAAAATGGAATTTTAGTTCTGTTTATTAGGAAATAAAAAGAAAAATCCTTTTATTTTCCTTAGCAGGCCGCCGCTTCCTTTTCGGCCCAACAGCACAGGCCGGCCCGGCCTGCCTCTGCGCCCGCTGTCCGCTCCCGTGCGCCGCGCCGCGCCGCGCCCGACCAGCCGCAGAGCTCGGCGGCCGCGTGTCCGTACGCCGTCGTCGTCGCTCACCGCGTGGACACCGATGGCCCCCGCGCCCCTCCTGTCGCGCCTACACCCACCGTGCTGCGTCTGCCTCCCTCTCCTCCATCTCATTTGCTTCTTGCTCAGACAGCAGCAGCAGCGCACACGCTCACCTCCAGCACCGCCCGCACCAGCGCCTCACCGGAGTTGGCCGTTCCGGCCGCTCCAGCTCGCCGTCGACCGCCCCATCTCGCCCTGTGCTCCTCCTTCACCTCGTGCATCCCGTGCTAGCACATTATCACCGTGGTAAGCTATGAGTCGCCGGCAATCGCTCACCGGAGCTTGGTCGAGTTTACCGGAGATGCGTCGCTCCGTGGACCTCGCCCCTCCGTCCTCCTTCTCGCCTCCTTTTTGCACACACGAGCACCGCACGAACACGGGGTAGCTCGCCAGCCACTCCCCATGCCACCTCTCAGCAGGAGCTGGCCGGCCGATGTTGAGCCACGCCACTGCGCCGCCATGGACGCCGGTGAGCTTGCTCTCGAGCTCCACTGACCGCGGTAGGGGTACCGTTAGGTCCGCCTTATCTCGGGGAAGCCTCCGGTGGTGACCTCACCGCCGGCAAGTTCACCGGCGGCGAGAACCGCCACGGCCGAGCGCCTCCCCTGCCTTAGTGACTGACCAGTGGGGCCAGGGGACCCACTGTCAGCCGCTGGGGTGCAAGCCTGGGTAGAGATCCGGGTGGATCTAGCATTTTTGAACCGGGATTTTCAGAAAAGAATAAAAGAAATGATTTATAGATTTTGTTTAAAGGCTTTGGAAATTTATAACTTGCTCAAAATGGCTCCAAATTTGTTGAAATAAGTTTTGCTAGATTTCTTGTGACTAGATCTATCTGCTAAAAATATTGCATGTCAAATTTATGATACTTTTCTCTGTAGTTTTATTTAAATTGAATAAATGCTGATTTCTTAGAAAATGTCTAGTAAATAGAATATGCATCAGAAAAATGTGGTTCTAGTTTTGTTAATCTCCTTTAGTAATGTACTTTGTAGAAAAAATATATGTCATGCATGTTGTGTAGAGAAATATTGATGTGTAGTTCAAGTGCCCTTAATTGATGATTTTTGTTATTTTGATAGAGAGCAAAAATTGTATAAAACATGTGTATGATAATTTTTGTGCAGTGATTGTTTACTGTGTAGAACATAGGAAAAGTACCAAATCTGTTGTTTGACACTTTTCATAGTACAAAGTATTTTCAAGCTTAATTATCAACCATAGCTTGTCATTTTTGTGTAGGCTATTTTACTTATCCAAATTCCATGAAACTTTTATGGCAGTCTACTTAGAGTAGTACTATGCTACTGTAATTTTCTCAGATTTTTATGAGCAATAGAAATATATGTTGCTGTGTAGCCCTAGTTTAAAATGAAATAAAATAATCTTCTTTAATGCATGTTTAGTTAATATTGTTTGCTTTGGTGTATCTTTGAAGCATCTTAACTTGCTGTGGTGATTTGACATGTTAGTCCAATGGTTGTCGTAGTAGATAGTAGTACATGTTCTTGGATGATGTCGACTACCTTGTAGACGAGCTTTGCTACTACTATGTTCAATAAAGTTAAACATGGTCATCTACATTTCATGCATCATGATCATTACATGTCATCTCTCCGATGCACCTATGCATTAGCACTTATACATCTGCATCATACAGGATCGCAGGAGGAGTTGCTAGTAGCAGTTCAGGAAGAGCAGACCGAGGCAGATCCACAAGAAGTCCAGGCACAGGAGGTGCCAGAGGAAGAGGAGCAAGGAGAGGACTTGCCGGAGTGCGTGGATCATCAACCTAGTTCGTTCGAACAAGGCAAGCCCCGGAGCATTCTAAGTCTCCTACTTTATAAAAGCAATTCTTTCTATATATATGAGTTTATATATTGTTGCATTAAGTTGTAGGAGTTGATTGAAACCGTTGATGCATTTATTACTATCCTTGCCTACCTTATTACCTTTTACCCTGTTAGGCCAGGATTGAATAACTGCTTAGCCTTGCTTAGACCGGTAGCGATCGGTGATACCCGGTCACCTACATTATAGGTGGTTACCGGAAGAGATTGGCTATGGAAAGAATGATATCCTGGAATTAACCATATGTGATGGAAAATTGGAGACCGGACGGAATAGTTGGAGGCAACCAGACAGGGTTCTGGGGTGCTGTTAGTTTCCGTCTGTGTCGATTAAGGACCGATCGTTGCTCGTCCCTCTTGTCATGTTGAACGCATGCCTCACATTTAGCTGGCCGAATAAAGTACCTTTCGATCGCGAAGCTAGTGGCACTATTCGGGCCGGGATCTACATGAGTGCGCGTATTGGTGCTGATGGGGGTATGACAGGGGCGCAAAGAGTGAGCCCAAGGGCAGGTGTGACCTGATTCCTGGCAGTCCAGCGGTCCCTGGGTACTACGGCTCTAGATTATCCCGCGGCTACCTGAAAAGTGTCATTTGTGATCTAAGCTACCCTAGCAGGGGAAGCATGGTTTGTATGAGGAATAAATCACCAGCTGGTTAGAAATCGATTCGAATCGCCATCGCTCCTGGATATTGAGCACTTGACTCAAGCTACGGCATCGTAGTAATTACTATGGAACAATGATGGTTATCTGGATGATATGAGTTATGTTAAGCTAAATTGGTAACTGGATGTTATTGGTTAATCATGTGATTGCTATAGTACAGGTGCTTACCTAGATGGGTAGGTTATAATAAAGATGATGCAAAGTACTTAAAATGGTTTATTCATGATAACTTATGCTTTCGCAAAAGAGTCAGCTAGCCCACTAAAGAAAGCCTTGCATAATCCTTGGTGTCGTTTTATTTTGGTTTAAGGCGGGTAAGTCTAGCTGAGTACCTTCTCGTACTCAGGGCGTTGTTCCCATTGTTGTTGTAGATGGTCAAATGTACTACGGCTATTGCATTAACTGCCTGTATCCGGCGATGGGTGACAACTAGGACCAAGGGCAAATGGTCACTCCGTATTTCTCATCTGATGCTTTTGTTGGAGATGACTACCTACTGGCACTGTATCTCAATCCAAAGTGTGGGTGTGGCTTTAAAACTATTTGCTTCCGCTATTTCAGTTCGAACTTGGTATGTAATAACTTTATGTTCCAAACTCTGATGTATTAACTGTCGTTGCGAACTTTATGTAACGTGTGACAGTACTTGCTAAACTTGTACGATCTTGGTTTGTATGTCGATTGGTTTGAAATCCTTCGTGGTTTCACGGACTACCGGGTTATACGGGTTTAAGTTTGCTAAATTATCTTTTTCGGCGGAAGATTTTCTTACTTAATCTCGTATAATTGGTCGGTTCTGTTACGGTATTGTCTAAATATTGGCTCAATTTATGTGGCTTTCAGGCTATCGTGAAATTAAATTTGTGCTAGCTGCAGCCTGTGCTTGAAAACTATTGAAGTATTTATTGTTTTAAAGCCTTCATCGAAGCATGATACATTGTGTGATCGTTTTAACTGATTTCTCTGTTCTGTTCTTTATAAAAAAATTCAGACTAAATTTGGCAAAATTCAGTCAAATTTCGGTGTCAAATTCGTGAGCACCGAAATTTTTAGCATTTTGAATCCTAAAACCTTGGTCCGGGAGCAACGAGAGGAAGGTGATCGGCAGAGTGGACTGCCGTGGCGGCCCCAAGCCGGGATGGATGCACTCGTTCGCCGTGACTGACAGGTACGTGGTGGTGCCGGAGATGCCGCTCCGGTACTCGGCCAGCAGCCTCGTCAGGTCGGAGCTCGCCCCGTACTACGCCTTCGACTGGCTCCCGGTGTCCGGGAGCTACATGCACGTCATGTGCAGGTCCACCGGGAACACGGTGGCGACCGTCGAGGTGCCGCCGTTCATGGCCATCCACTACATCAATGCGTACGAGGACGACGCCGACGGTGCCGCGGTCATCGTCGACTGCTGCGAGCACTACAGCGACCCCGCCATCATCCACACGCTTCTCCTCCACAGACTCAGATCCTTGAGCAGTGACAAGGACAAGGACCCGTTGCCAAACGCCAGGTACGTACAGTACCTATCTACATGCACTCCACATGCATGCTTGTTGAACATTCTAATCTGGGCTTTCATTTGTGGACGGGAAAAAAAATCTTATGCGACGGTGTCGCTTGCAACCGTGAATTTTTTTTGTATTTTGGTCCTTTCTGAAAACTTTTTTTACAAATAACCCCTTGACGAAATATTTTCTGAAAATAGACCAAACACTCGGGCGTGTTAGCACATCACACCGAGGTTAGGTTGTAACACCCTAAAGTTTGCAGTTTTGAAAATAGAATTAAAATGCTTTAATTATGATTTTTTTGTGCTCATGAAACATAGGAAAATAATATTTTTCATTAAATTAAAATTCATCATCAGGTAGCAACATGAATGTGCATGCATGCTGTGCATAATATTTTTGTATTGTGTGGTTTGAAATTAAATTTCAAATTAATTTGAATTTGCATTCAAAATTTGTTTGGAAATTAGAAAAAGAAAAAGAAAAGACTTTTCTTCCCTCTCTCCCTATTCGGCCTGTTGGCCCAGCTCCTGAGCCCGCGACCAGTTCCTGCCTTCCAGCGTCGGCCCGCTCCTTCCCTTCTGCGCAACCCAGCGAGCGTCGGCCTAGCAGTAGCGCCGGCCCGGCTTCGTAGCCCAGTCCAGCCGCGCCTGCGTTCGCCCTCCTCTCGCTGACAATCGGGTCCCACGCGTCAGGCGCACCGTCTTCCTCCGCGCTGTGTCTGCCTCGGGCACGACTGCTGCCGCCGCCCGACTCTGCTGCGGCCACGTTTTCCCCTCCGTATCTTGTGCCCCAAGCCGCCCCCTCCTCATAAATACCTAGCCTCGTGCCGCCGCCTCCATCCCAAGCTCCAGCGCCGCAGCCACCCTCGTCGAGATGCCGAGTCGCCGCCTAGCCCTAGCCGCTGCCATTGCCATTCGCCTCACCGAGCGCCGCGTTGCCCTCCGTCGCTTCACGCCGAGGTAAACCATCTAGCTGAGTTCGCCGTCGTCTCCTCTAGCTTCTCGCGCTCTTGCTTCATTCAATGGTGGTCCGTAGACCGAGTTCGCCGAGCACTGCTTACCTCCGCCCATGGCGCCGCCGTGGACCTCACTGTCGGCCGGCCAGCTCTCTCTCTCTCCTTTCCGTTTGATCGTAGCCGTCTGATCTAGATCGGACGATCCCAAATAGAAGATACCCCTTCGCCGGTCATATTTGCATAAAGGCCCTTATAACTATTTAGATCTCAACCCGCCGTCCCTGGTTTGTTTCAAAAGGACCCCTGCCTTTTCTTTTAATAATGCCCGCAATCCTCGACCAGGTTTAAAAATCAGGTTTTATTGATTTTAATTCAAAAATCAAGTTTCCTCTATTTACAAAACTGTCACTATCTTTTATAGGCCATAAAATCTTCGTTTTAACTCCGATTTGGTCCGTTCAACTTGTGTTAGGTTCGTAATTCCATAATCTACATGTTCATACTACTGTTAAGTATGTTTTCAACTTTTAAAATTAGGGGTTAGATTTAATCTATTATTTTGCTAAAGGAAATCTTGTTTAATTCAAAACTTCTTCGTTTTAGCTCCAATTTTTGTGATCTTCGCGTCTGTGTGCTTGTAGCATCGCGTAGAACAGCTTTAAAACCTTTTTAACTTCTATTTCTACTGTTTCGTGTATTGTTCTAATTAGCTTATATTTGTTTGCTATGCGTGTATGTATGGATGCTTGTGTGGTGTTGTTTGATCTCGAGTAGACAGTGAGTTTTGTGTTGGTGATCTAGAGCAACTCTTTGAGGATCAAGACCAGCAGCGATACTTTGAATTAAGGCAAGTATAATATGGGTAACACGACTCATGGTGAAAGTATTTTGGGAGTTATAAACCCGGGCATATGGGTAACATGACTCATGGTGAAAGTGTACAACCTCTGTAGAGTGTAAAACTAGTATATCCGCCGTGCTCACGGACACGAGCGGCCTGGATCCTTACTGAATAGTTGGATACTTGGATGGTTTGGGTTATGATTAAGATTGCTGATATCTCTAATCATTCATATTCGGGAGCCTAAGCATAACTTAGCAACTTATGATTAATAATAAAATATGACCAACTAAAAGTACTTACCGCACTTCAGCCATGTCAAGCCTTTTGAGTCTGCATCCCCTCATGTTATGCTTGCTAAGCGGTAGTAGCTTACGCTTGTTTTATTTCAATACTTTGGCAAAATCCCGGATGGGTACCAGATGGAGGTTCTTCAGTGGAGTTTTTCAAGAGGTGTTAGGCTTGTGATCAACCAGTTGACGATTCCTGTGATGTTGGAGGCTTCGCCAGAAGAATAGAGTTATAGTATATACTGTAAAGTAAGACTATGTCTTTGGTAACAAATATTTATGCGCTATATAATTAAGGCATTATCTTTGATATTACCCCTTTATTTGTAACTATATGTGTGAATTGAATTCCTGGGCACACATATGGTGTGTATCTGGTTTTGTCCTTAAAACCAGGTGCTACAAAGTGGTATCGGAGCTATGTCAACTGTAGGACGCAAGCCTAGTTAGAAAATGGTCGTTTTAAGGTTCAGAGTTTGCTATGAAATCCTTGGTCTATAAACCTTGTTATTTTCACCTATACTATATTCTTGTCTTGCTGTTCATCTACTCCTTGTTGGTATAAATTTTGACCCTATCTTCACCCCTTGCTTTGAATTGCTTTTAGAGCTATCACTTACCACATTCTTGCGCAACATGAAGGTGAAGCTACAGAGTTTTGAGCCCATGATACAACAAGAACGCTAGTAATGTGAGTAGAGTCAGTGAGTCCTAATGCTTGAATTGTGAACCTTTAATGTTTGAATGGTTGTCTTGATGTTCATGCTTGATTTGGATCTTTGTAATGATTGTAATGATTTTGTGGGTTATGCTCATAATTTAATTTAGTTTACATGATAAGGCATAAGGACCAATGATTAGATAGTTGGGTTGGTCTTTCTCGTCTCTGCACGTGCTATTTTCTGAGCAGTCTGTGTTCATCGGGTTATATCTCCATAGGTAGATGCCCAAAAGTCATGAATGTTTTATGGATGAAAGTAGACTTTTGTATCTTTCATATGCCACTGGAATCACCTTCATATCTATTATGGATTGGGAGTTATGACCTCTACAAGTTGAAGTTTCTGCACTGCCTGGGAGTCTGAACAGGTTTGGATTGTGCCCTGTTTCTGAGTAACTTAACCTCAGAATCTGGCAAGGTGGTCTATACAAAAGTTGTAGGGAATTTCATAAGCTTTCCATCCATATAAGTCCCGTCTTCATATAATTTCTGGAACTTGAGATATGGTTGTCTTTCTGAACTGCTACTAGTAGTTCTCGTCCAGAAAATTTTAGATTGATTGTTTTGTCATGTGAACTACTTTCGAATCATGGATTACAACCAATAATTGTGCTAAATGTTGCTAACAGATGGTTTCTACTAGGAGAAGTGTTTCACGTGATGCCAGAAGGAATGCCCCCAATGCTAATCCACTGCCACCAAATCCTCCAACTATAGAGCAATCTATGATGATAAAGACTCAATTGTTACAGACCTATGTTCAGAATGTATGCATCAACCCACATCAAGCACCACCAAGAGACAAGCGTGGTGAATTTATGAAGGGACATCCACCGACATTCTCTCATGCAAGTGACCCACTAGAAGCTAATGACTGGCTTAGGGCTGTGGAGCGACAACTTAACCTAGCTCAGTGTAATGACCATCAGAAAGTGCTTTATGCTTCCGGTCAACTTCAAGGAGCAGCTTCAGACTGGTGGGAATTATTTTAGATTTGGAAGGATGTAAATCAGATTTGTTGGGAAGATTTCAAGACTTTCTTTAGATCTTATTATGTTCCCGAAGCTTTGGTGGAGATCAAGGAGGAGGAGTTCCTCAACTTGAAACAAGGTTCCATGACAGTGTGTGAGTATTGTAACAAATTCACTCAACTGTCACGTTATGCTCCAGGAGAGGTGGTCAATGATGCCAAGAAACAAAAACGCTTCTTGAAAGGATTGAATGATGAACTTCAACTGCAGTTGATGACTGTTGTGTATCCTAACTTCCAAACTTTGGTGAATAGGGCCATTTTGATTGAGAACAAGCGTTGGGAAATGGAAGAGAAGAAAAGGAGAATTCAAAGCCAATCTGTAGGTAGCAACACACGCCCCCGCTGCACTCCCCCACAAGAATTTTGGTAGGAACCAACTAGTTAGTGGGATTTTGATCCTCCTCAACAACTCCCTCAATACCAGCAAGAGCAGCAGTATGAGAACCAGAGTCCACCCCAGCAACCCCTCATCAACTCTCCAATGAAGGATAGTGTGCCCAACACTCTCCCTTCAGGCAAGAAGTGCTACCGCTATGGTGAACCCGGTCACTATGCAAGTCAGTGCTCGAAGAAGCCAAACAAGCAACAATCTAGCAACGGAAACCATAAACAACAAACTCATGTGCAAGGCAAAGTCAATTATGTGACAATAGAATCTGCACATGAAGCCCCAGATGTTGTGTTTGGCATGTGTCTAGTCAACTCTATCCCTGCATCAGTTTTGTTTTATTCTAGAGCTTCACATTCCTTTATTGCACATCGTTTTGTTAAGGAGCACAATATACCAAAGTGTCCTATGAAGAAACAGATGTTAGTTGACTCACCTTGTGGGGATATGCAAGCTACTCTAATGTGCCCTTGTGTAAGAGTTGAAATAAGGGGGTAGAGTTTTTGGCAAATCCAATTGTGCTGAAGTCTTCAAGCATAGATGTAATTCTTAGAATGGATTAGCTAAATCCATGAAAGGCTATTATCCAATGTGAGAATGGTATAGTACACTTGACGTCCAAGTCAGGAGAAGAAGTTGTATGCAAGGCAACTACAATGACAAGAGAGGTGTGCAGTGTTAATCAGATGAATGGTGCAACCATGGATAAGACCATGGTTGTTAATGAGTTTCTAGATATTTTTCCTGATGATTTGCTGGGTATGTCGCTAG